TCTTATTTAAAGAGTACATAATTATTATAAATAAAAAACATTTTGAGATACAATTCATACAATTATGGCTTTTTAGAAAGCATTTAATTTTAACAATAGAAACAAGTTTTTCATTTAATTGATTTTTCGCATTCAATTCAAGTATTATTTTATCGTTAAGCTCTTGGAAAATGACTATCCATTCAAACAAAAAATAATTGCCAACATTTTAAAGTGATATCACATGTATTTTTTCGTATATGTGTGTAATTAATTAGAAATCAATTGTCTCGCAATTAATAATCACTTTTTTGAACAAAAAATGTCTTTTCATTTAGTTTTAAACCATTCACTGGAGTAGAAAAGAAGTCAGAATTTTTCATTATATAGTAGACTAAAAGACTGTTTGGCAAAAAAAAGTAAAAGAAAGTACTGAATAAGTGTTAAGGATTGAAAAAAATGTGTTCATATATTTTAATAACCGGTTCTTCGAATCCAATTAACTCTCAAATGAATCACAAGAAAAAGTTATCATTTGATTACGAAAGTGACAGCAATAGTGAAGTTAACTTTAAAAAAGTATTTTGACATTGATTTCCAGTTATTATTTTTTTTTCGTGAATAAGTTAAACAAATTTCACATAAAAAGTTGTGTTTCGTACCTAAGATTTCAAAAAACATGTTTTTCAAAATCTTATGGCAATAATTACAAGAGTTTATTAACACCTTTTATGCAAATATAAATGTCATGTAAATTTCATATTAAGTTCATTACGAGATATAATTAACAGAGGGCTAAGTAATGGGAATTTTGCACATATATTTGACCATAAAAATTATTATATATTTTCACGAATTTCAATTAAAACTAACTTAAATACCATTTGTATATTGTGTTCAAAATTATGTCATTGCCTTATAATTGAGAAATTTTTCACTTGTATATTACAAAATAACTTAGAGATTGTTTACATATTAAGTATATTTACAATTTTCTTTGTTTTTCAACAATTGTTTAAAAATTTTATGGCATTTTAATGTAAAAATTCAATTTCAATGATACTCATAATAAAGAACAATAAAATCCTAATATCATTGTTAATTATATAATAATTCAATTATAAAGTTTTGCACAACTTTTAAAATTAACATTTCTTCAAAATAATTAAAAATCCCTAAAACAAATCAAGATAAAAGTAATATGAACATGATTATTTATTTTGTTAACATAATCAAAACTATTAATAAATCAAAGTTTAATTGATTAAATATGATCAAAATACTATAAAATATAAAATAAATCAGTAAAATAACTAAAACATCACAAACAAAAACAACCAAGAACAAAATATTTAAGAGTTATACCACAAGAATCTAATCCAGAATTGAACAATACTAAAACGACCATGCACATATAAAATCATAAACTCATGCTCGTTCCTCACCAAATAGAAGTTTCCCTTTAATGCAAACGTTATTATTTAGTGAACATGTATTCAGTAATACATGTAATACCTGTTCAATACATGCAATACACGTGCGTTTTGTGGGGAAATGTTAGCTAACATACAATTATCAGTCAATTTGATTACAATATCAGCGCTAAGTCTATGGATCGCAATCTAAGCACACAATTGGCTGCCATTGCGACCGGTGTTGGCGTTGGAGTCGCTATCGGTTGGCTCCTGAGGGCTAAAATACACCACTCGTTGGCCAAACATTTGGGCAACAGATCCAAAGAGATGGCCGAACACGCCTTCGACGAGATAATGGGCGCCGAATGTAAACTCGTAATTGTGGTCAGAAGTGACCTCAAGATGGGAAAGGGGAAGGCGTGCGCACAGTCTTCACACGCGGCCGTATGTCACCAACACTTGTCACCATTTGATTCACAATCATTATCACTAATATCTCTTTCCCCATACCATCAGGTGATGGCTTACGAACAGATCCGCAACAAGAAGCCAATACTGAATCTATGGCGAGCGTCGGGTCAGCGAAANAAAAAAATAATAACTGGAAATCAATGTCAAAATACTTTTTTAAAGTTAACTTCACTATTGCTGTCACTTTCGTAATCAAATGATAACTTTTTCTTGTGATTCATTTGAGAGTTAATTGGATTCGAAGAACCGGTTATTAAAATATATGAACACATTTTTTTCAATCCTTAACACTTATTCAGTACTTTCTTTTACTTTTTTTTTGCCAAACAGTCTTTTAGTCTACTATATAATGAAAAATTCTGACTTCTTTTCTACTCCAGTGAATGGTTTAAAACTAAATGAAAAGACATTTTTTGTTCAAAAAGTGATTATTAATTGCGAGACAATTGATTTCTAATTAATTACACACATATACGAAAAAATACATGTGATATCACTTTAAAATGTTGGCAATTATTTTTTGTTTGAATGGATAGTCACTTTCCAAGAGCTTAACGATAAAATAATACTTGAATTGAATGCGAAAAATCAATTAAATGAAAAACTTGTTTCTATTGTTAAAATTAAATGCTTTCTAAAAAGCCATAATTGTATGAATTGTATCTCAAAATGTTTTTTATTTATAATAATTATGTACTCTTTAAATAAGATGAGGAAGTGCTCTGACATCCCGACAAACAATACACTGTTTTTATTTGCTTTATAAGCGCTTAATTTAACTATAATTATAACTTTATGTATATATTTATATCTTTTATAAAGGATTAGAAAAATTTTAATGAAATTCTAAGAGATTTGTTATTTAATATAATTTTTGTCATAGAGTTGTATATAAAATAATATTGTAATACTATTTGAACAAATATTTTGTAAAATGTTTTGCAAACATAAAAATAATAATTATTTATTTGCAACCGAATATTTATGTTAACAAAATACAAAACATTATTATCATTATTTATCACTTCACTTACCTGTATTACATTCACTATCTTCACTTACCCTACATTCGGTCACCACCCGTCTGTTACTTCTGAAACTGGTATTCCGATGTCGTCTACTCTTCTCCAGTGCGAGAGCCCAGAGCTCTGAACTCCGAGCGAATCAATGGCCAGATCTCTTGTCCTCCGCTTCCGATGACTCGGATTTGTTTGATTCACAAGAATCTCGTATTATTAGTAAAGATGTTAATAAAGACGTTAATAAAGATGTACTTCTCATGAGTTCTGTGGACACCATAAGGGATACAATACTTAAATATTTCAGTCATATTAGGAGTTTATCTCCTCTGTCTTTAATAATGTCTTTTGAGTTTGCGCCAGATTTCCTACTCAAGGACGCCTAGCCGAATTGCTGACGGTGTGTTTCGAAAACCGGGTTTCTTGACCATTCAGTAACTTCGATAGTTTTGATAGCAGACAAAGTTTTACATTGATTTCAATTTCCAATACAATGATTGTAATAATTATCACTGACAATGTGAGCAATGTACTTTAATGTACGATATATAATGTTGTTTACTGTCTGTATTGCAATGACAGCGCAAATATAACGCTCGGGACAAAGCGCACAATATAATAGGCATATGGCCCGGCACTAAACGGGGCACAACTGCCGACCAAATCATTATAGTGGGCGCCCATTACGATACGGTCCGATCGTCGCCCGGTGTCGACGACAACGGATCCGGTTCTGCGGCTGTGCTCGAGATCGCCAAACTTGTGGCACAAAACAATTGCAAATTAGATAAAACTCTTATATTTGTTCTCTTCGATATGGAGGAAGATGTGAGTGTTTATAACTTTTTAATAATTATTATGTAAATGACTTTTGAATGACTTATAAAAATGTAAAATAGGGTTTAAAAGGAAGCAAATATTTTGTCAAAGACTATCTGATTCCCATTGAAGTGATGGAAAACGGGGCAAAAGTGACGGCAGCCATCATTATGGACATGATCTTAGAGCACGACTCCACCAGAAACAGCCAAT